CCGACAGACTGATTTTCTTTGAAAACATCAAATCCCTCATCCCCAACCCTCAGCCAATAATCATCGCAGGGGACTGGAACACAACCCTGGACCCAAACCTGGATCGGATCTCAAGAACAACAATAATGGGACCCTCAAGAGCGGGCACCCGGATTCGAAACTTGATGACGGAATTCGAAATTTGCGACCCCCTCAGGGTAATGCATCCGGATAAGAAAGTATTCTCCCGAATAAGGAGAAACCAAACCAACCGGACATCACTGTCCAGGATTGACTACTTCCTCATATCCGAGAGTCTACTCGGAACAGTTAAAGAGGCCGAAATCCTCCCATCAGCAGCCTTCAAAGGACTGGACCACAAACCCATCCAGTTGCTACTCAATTTCGATGTACCAGTTCAAATAGGCCAGGGCTTTTTCAAGTTGAACAACTCCCTATTAAAAACCGAGAGAATGACGGCGACAGTCCAAGAAAATTGGGCCCTCAATAAACAGCGATAATCAAAGAAGACAAACAACCACCAATGGTTCATTGACAGCTACACAGAATTAACACGGTCAGTCTCAGCGGAATCAAGAGATAATGCTAGAGATCGCAAAAGAAGAAGGGAAGAACTCTAGTTCGCTATGGCTGTTGCAGAAGCAAATATGGCGATGGATCCAACTAGTGGATTCTACCAAGAACTACTAGACGACACCAAAGAAGAACTACACGAATGGAGAAGATGGGAACTCAAAGGTCTACAGATACGAGCGAGGATGACAGACTACGCACTTAACGAGTCTATGACAAAATTCTTTTTCTCCAAAATCAAGGCGAACGCAAGGAACAACATGATAGAGGCCCTCAAAGACCCATCAGATGCAAGAAGCACAAAAACCACAGGCCACGAGATGGTAGGGAAAGCCAGATCCTTTTACGCTGATCTATACGAATCCAAGACACCTTCACCCCCGTTAACAGCGAACCTAGCAGCCCGCCAACTGATGTTTTCGTATCTCGACAGAACCATCTCGACTAGTCAGGCGGAAGGCCTGGATAAACCACTGACCCTGTCCGAACTACACGTAGCCTTGAACCAGATGGGAAACGACTAAGCCCCGGGCATCGATGGCCTATCTAAGGAATTTTGGACCTGCTTCTGGCCAACCCTGGGAGAGGACCTACTCGACTTTTTCAACGATAGCATGCGCAAAGGAGGCCTAGGAAAGGCACTGAGCACCAGCGTGGTTTCACTGCTATACAAAAAGGGGGACAAAGAAGATCTGAAAAATTACAGACCTATCTCCCTATTAACCACGCCGTACAAAATCCTCGCCAAGGCTCTTGCAAACAGAATCAAAAAACTAACGAACAGCTGCTTTCACATCGACCAAGCGGGCTTCATCCCAGGTCGATTCATATTGGACAACGTGATGACTCTGAATGAGGCGGCAAAAAAAATCACAGAAAAACGAATGAAGGCTGCAATCCTGTTCTTCGATTTCGAAAAAGCCTACGACCAAGTTAACTGGGATTTCCTCCATGCATGCATACCTAAAATGGGGGTAGGCCCGAACTTCAGAAGTTGGGTGAGAGTTCTGTACACAGACGCAACAGGAAGAGTCCAGGTCAATAAAATTCTATCAGAAATCTATCCAATTGCATGGTCAGTCAGATAAGGCGACCCACTGGCTCCTCCCATATTCCTCTTCATAATGGAAGCCATAGCTTCCTTTCTCCGCAAAGACCCGTCCATTGACCGCCTCGCAGAACGGAATTTCAACCCGTTACACAACTTTTCCCTACCCACTGCTCTCATGTTCGCTGACGACCTTACAGTACTCATTAGAACAAACAACAGCTCCTTCCAATCACTAGTAAGGGCACTGGAAGCCTTCAGACTGGCATAAAAAATGAGGGTCAATTGGTACAAAACCGAAGGTTGGTGGTTAGCAGACGACACCCCTCCTCAACCACCGGACACAACCACACCCATGACTTGGACCACGGGAGAGCAAGCACTACGGTTCCAAGGCATCATGATCAATAAGGAAGGAGTGTGGCCAGGAATGGGCCAGAACCTAATAGCCAGAGCAATCACTCGCCTGGCCCTGTGCAAAAACGCCCAGGCGTCGTTAATCGGACGGCCACTACTCGTCAACACAGCAATCTTCTCCACACTGTGGTATATGGCATCCATCTGGTCCCCCCCCGACGACGACCTCAAGGAACTAAAAAACAGGGTGACATGCTACCGAGGACAGGTGATCCCAACAGGACCACTTGCATCAACAGGGTCGCATGGAACCACATCACTAGGAAGCCACAGGAAGGGGGCCTCGAGGGCCTCGAGATAATCCACCCAAAACAGGAATCCATAGCATTGCAGATGAAATGGATAGTCAAGATTCTTACCAGACAGTTCCTCCCGTGGACCCAAATGGCACGAGACAGCATCAAAAACTTAGCCCCCATCAACTCCCCTCCAAACATGAACGGCCTGTTCTGGCTTATGGCAAAGGACTAGACAATCAAGTCCGACAGACCACGCAGGAGAAACCCCGTACAGCACAATCCTGTACAGCTCAACACAAATCCCACTCAAACAGTCAGCACATATTGGAGCCCCACCATCAAAGCCTGGCGAAAAATGATGCCGAGCAAACACGGGGCACCAAATAACAGAGAAGAAGTCCTGAGACAACCGCTCTTCTGCGATCCCTGGATCACAGAACGACTTGGACCCTGCGCTCACAGGACCGCAGATGGTTATCCTGGGTAGAAAAAGGTGTGTGGCAGGTCAAGCACATCTGGGTAGAAGACCAAGGACGATGGGCAACATATCAGGAACTACGCAACACATTAAAAGGCTGCCACGCCCTCTCCGATAACCTAACGCTGATCCAAAATAGCATCCCAACACAATGGCTCCCCCTCCTAAGAGAGGACTTCTCGTGGAAATCCGGGGACTGGGGTTCTATTCCTACCCCGTAGCCAAACACAGCACAAATGAAATGGAGGTCCAGTACAACGACCCCCAGTGCGAGATGCTTGAGACCTTCCGACTGAGAAAAGTGAGGGTATCAAAGTCCGAACCCTGGAAAATCTTCCAACCGGACCTCAGCATCTCAGAGCTAGAATTCGACCTGAAAGAATGGATATGGAAACAAGGTAATCCAGGGAGGCTGAGACCAATAGCCGAATACGATGTCGAATTCGGTTACGAGCTGGGCCTACAAACCACAGACCCAGATCCCAGACCCAAAGGTAAATGGAGGGAGATATTGAGACTGGACCCCTCGGCCCCCATATCCATCCCGTGGACAAAATTCCTGACCATTAGACCGGCTAGGATTCGAAGCATGCACAGGCTCTTAGCACACGCCTCTCTGCCAACCAATCAGTGGCTCCACAAGAGAAGAAAGCACACAGACCCCGACAGCACGGATATATGCAAACTTTGCACAAACAATGCCTTGGAAGACATACCCCATTGCCTCCTATACTGCACGGAAGCAACCTGGATATGGAACAAAGTGCGCGTCCTATGGACCATTCTCTTCTCAGCACCTCCCCCGGCCACAACCCCCCTGAACATCCTGCTCCTATCTAACGACACTAACAATCTTAAAGGCGACAAGGAAGTTTGGTTCCACCTACTCAAAAAACTGGCCCTTTGGGTAATCTGGAAGAGGAGATGCTCCAAGACGATCGAAGGAACTGAGGTGCCAAGAGAAGAAATGTGGTCTCTACTGCTGAGAATGGCTGAAACAGAGATTCGATCCAGATGGCGAGAAGTGACCATGACGACGAAAGGCAGACCAGAAAGGATAGCCACAAAGAGACGTAAATTTAGAAGAGATTGGCTTCCACAGGGAAAGATCGCCACTGTGGTGGACAACAGAATGGTGTGGAAGAAGTGGCATAACACAAGAACAGGGACCCAGTGAAGAGCAAACTGAGATTATAATCTCAACAGTCTAGACAACTCTCCCCTTTTCTTGCTTTATACATATTATCTGGCAGAGACATTGCAGTTTCTGAGAGGAAAAGTGGTAGGGCAAGCTGACAGTCAATCCTCCTGTTAGGGAGTAATCAATGCTGGTCAGGGTTCCTTCGGCCAGACGGAAGGAAGCGTGTGAGTGTTCACCATGTATCTCATTTTCGACTTGCCGGTGGAGAGAAACCGGACTGACGCTCCATGGATATGGAGCCAAAAAAAAAAAAGGACCCCGATTTATACCCCACAACTAAAAGATCTAAGGACTTAGATGGCCGTAACCAAGAGTCTACCAGTTCTGATTGGTGGGCAGACAATGCTAGACTCCCCCAGATCCAGCTTGAGTGAATCTTTTGCTGCATTTTCGGTTTGGGTCGGTGACGCAGCGCCTGCACTGTCCAGGCTTCCTGGCCATGCATGCCAGGTCAGGCCCATCACGCAGCCTTCTTAAATCCAACAAATCCAATCACACTGACAAACACACCCTTCTCCTCTGACACAAGGCCCATAACACTCGCCAAGCTAGCAAGGATAACGAAAGTTTAAAGAGAAAATTTGGCCTGCATGGTTAGCGACAATCAAATGTAGGCTGCGGGTTGGGGAACCAGCAGAGCACATCAGGAATGTTCTCAAACTTCAACCTCATATAAACAACTTTCTCATTCCTAGAATGTTGTATAAAGAAATTTCAAATTCCTGATATTTGTGGTCCAATCCTGATCCTATTTTTCGTTTGGGATTTTAAGCTTCTGATACTCCAACACCTGTCCTTCCTTCTGTGACCCTCCACCATCCCTGCTCGTGCACAAACGATCAAAACATCAGTAGTTGAAATCCACCGTAACACCATGATACAGCGGGCCACCCCCTCCCCTCGCTACTCCCTTTACCCATCCCTCCCCTCCCCTCCCCTTCCCCCCCCCTCTCCCAAAAAAAAAGAAGTGACCGTACTATTGACGAGTTCGGATCCATCTTACAAAGAGTAACATGCATGACACACCAGCACAAGATGACTGACCTGCCCATGGCAGATACCAGTTGCCTTCAACGTCCGAAACTCCTGTGAGAGCGGCTCTGCTGGAGCTCCTCCAGCTGTGGTCCTCCGAAGCATCACCTGCATCGGCATTTAAGACGCATTCAACATACGACTCTTAAGAGTAGCTACTGGATGACCGGTACCAGAAGTTAGATGCTCAATCCAAAACGCAAGCTTATCCAGAAAACATAAAAGAGGAGTGGAGCAGGTCCTGAACAAGACGCACACAAGAGTACCAATGGTGAGCAAAACCATATCACAGTACATAGCTCACTAACATCCATTAACCGAGGCCAAACAATGTAGGACCCGAGTAGACACACCCTCTGCATCAGCTCTACTCTCCTTTTGTGACCCCACAGGACTCCAGCAGCATGGCATTTCATTCTGTATCTGAACTTCAGACCAGGCTACAAATAAGCCCTTGTCAGCCTCCAGCAGGCTTTCCTTGCAACAGGACCCAATGACATCCAAGTTCAAGCAACATGGCAATCATGACAGGATTCCATGCACCTCAGCGTCTAAGTCCCCGATGCAGTCCCAAGTTGCAGAGTCCTGTGCACTATAGTGTAATATAGTCCCATCTGGTAGATCCCATAGAACCTGTCCATACGGTATGTTCCCTAGGAATAATCCATGCAATGGAGCCAAAGGATGAGCAAAGTGATGACAAGGACTCGAATGGACAATGCAGTATCAGTGAAGAATCAACAAGCAATGTACATCCATACTAGATGACCTGTTGCCGCTTCACTTGCACAAACAAATGTGACAGGTGATGCACTGACGATCAAGCAACCGACCGAAGCAATCTCTCTCTCTCTCTCTCTCTCTCTCTCTCTCTCTCTCTCCCTCTCTCTCTCTCTCACACACACACACACA